AAATAATCACTTATAAAAGAATAGTGACTTTCTAGAGACACTCAATTAGTGTACAGAAATACAATCATATCCTCACAAGATGGCCTCCTTTTCCAAATACAGGAAATAGAATGCTATACTCTTAGACAAAAAGTATATTTCAAATATGCTTATAGGTTTCTTCTTTTATTTATTATGAAAGTCAAATGAAAATATCCTTACAAAATTTTCCAGAAGATGACTGTAAACAGGGACTTTAAAAGCAAACTTTTAAGAAGAGCAATTATGTTTCCTTTCAACATAATTGCTTAATATAATTCATTTATTGAATACCTACTATGTACAAAGTACTGCGCCAAGGCTGTGTGGTGGGGGGAAACACGTAACTAGATGCCTGGATTGTAAAGCTAAGAACTCAAAGCATGCTCATGAACACATTTCAGAGACACGCTGAAAGCAGTATTTTCCCTGAAATCTACTCTAAACCAAATAAAATGTTCTCCAAATTCTGCAATAAGCTGAATAAAACTGTATACTTCCTCACATGGCCATCCCAGAAATTTGTTAGGGGCTTCACTTACGATTAGACACAATAAGGATTACAGCAGAGCTGAGGCAAACCTGGAACTAATATAATATTCTCTGGGGCCTTTTTTTTTTTCTTTATAATGTATATTATGACATTTAACATGTTAAACCTTCATGTTAGATTAGAGGAAATATTCAATGAATTAAACATATCTATTGACAATTTGCATGGCCTAAGAGGTCAGTATACAATGGTTTTAGGAAAGGTGATTTAAAAATTCTCTGAAATAGCTAATTCTTTTTCCAACTTATTCCCTAATAAGTGTAGATATCCAAAAATGTTATTTAAAGTCAAAGTTTTAGGTGTTTTCTCAAGTTTTTTAGGCTTTTAGTGATTCTGGGTGATTTAGAGTAATTTATGTCTTTTCTTTTCCTATCACATTAAATCATTAACACATTTCTTCAGATAATACTTAAAGGCTTTACTATAACATGCACAGTATTTTAGATAAGATCATTTTATATAATAGGATCTTTCTAATATTTTAGTTATCAAAACTTCTTTTTACTAATCATAGCTATTTTATCACATACTGGGGTCTACAGTGAATTGTACAATAACTCCTAAATGCACTATATTTTCTCTACACTCTTACGGTAGAAAACAGAAACAAATTTTCCAATAGTATAATATACAATATGAGAATAACATTTTTAGAACAATCCTGAAAACCTTAAATCAAATAGATTATTTTGATATTTCTTTAACAATATGACCATGGTAAACAAACTTTGATATTAAATTTCAAATGATTAATTATTACATTGTGTATCACATTTATCTGAGGGGATCATGGTCTAGTACTTGGCGCGTATGACTGATGATCAACCTATCTGCACTAAATGAGATACACCATGCTTTGTGTGACTTGATTTTCTTATCTAAAATAAGGATAAGCATTTAAAAAAAATTAGTTGTAGATGGACACAATATCTTTATTTTATTTATTTTTATGTGGTACTGAGTATGGAACTCAGTGCCTCTTATGTGTGAGGCAAGCAATCTGCCACTGAGACACAATCCCAGCCCAGGGATAAGCATTTTGATCTACCTCAGAATACATTATTTTTTAAAACCGAATGAGACAAAATTATTTACAGACAGTTAAGAAATACAGGCAAATTAATTGCCTGTTGTAATGAATATCCTAATGCACAAAACTTTTTCAAATGTCAATTCTAACCTACTTCTGTCTATGGGAGTTAGTTTACAATTGTTTACCTTAATTTTTTTGAGTCTGGATTTCCTGAATCTTATTATAATTCTAATCATTAGCTTAATTTTCCAAAGAGTGGGCCAAGCTATTTGTTATTTTTGAAATAGCAGCAATCTCCAAAATACTTTTAAAAATGAAGAGTAATACCTTAGAAATATACCATTTTAAACTGTTAGGTAATTAAAACTAAATTTGTATAAATGTTTGGAATGGGAGGTTTCAATAGTCTATTTTCTTAAATTAAAATGGATTCATTTGAGATTTAAATGCTATATTTAATTCAACTAGCTTTTTCCCACTTATAAAAACATACAACAATAAGCCTAACTATGATTGATAGTTAAAATTTACTTTTTTATTTAAAAACATTCAGACTATATATGTTCAAAGATTTCTACATTATACTACCACCAAAAATTTAGTCATGTGTTCACAGACAGAAAACACATAAACCACATTTTAATTTATCTAATGCCTTTAAAAGGTATTCCTTGTAATAATCAGTATCACTAAAATCACTCCCCATAAAATATTTGTGTGTGTGTGTGTTAATGATAAAAATCTATAGTGAAATGATGAAATAAAAAAACAAGTGTTCTTGTCAGAAGACAGGAAGAGAGTTTTTTCCCCTCCCTCAAGAAAACAAAGGATTCCTGGAAGCTTTGCCCTGATTTATTTTTCCAATTTTAAATACCTTAAGAGTAGCGGAACTGCTACTGGCATGGTAGTATTTCTAACAGTCAATAAATCTAAAATATTATGTGTGAATATTGGAATGAAGCCATTAAGAAGATTACAGCATGCAACACAGCAGAGGGTCCACAGGAAAAAAGACCTAGTAATTCAGGACAACTGTGACCACTGACCTTTGAACAGCCAAGACCACTGGTCAATCTGACACAATAATAGAGTGCACATGCATAGAAAGTCATCTAGCCTGTAAGTATAATTTAAATGCTTTGGTGGATGATTTTAAAACACCTTCCACCTAAATCTCAGTCAACTTATTAAACAATCAAACAATTACAAATACTAATATTCTTTAGGCTTCAAATACGTACTATTAATTTAAATTACACACAAAAATTCAGTAAAATCATTTGTGATTTTAACACATCTCATTTAAAACATTTGCCATTTAAAAAATATGTTGTGATACTTCATCATTTTCCTATGGAGCTATAAGAGACAGGTTAAACAATCACCTTAAATATTTTTAGAAAATTACTGTAACTTTTAAAATATTCATATTTTCAACAAATGATCCTTGCTCTATCTCAGAAGCATTTTCATTTATGTAGCATTCAAATTATCTGTAATTCTGTGGCCTTCAGTTTCAAGCTTCTATATAATCAATCCACCACACCTGGCAGTGTTCCTTTTTACCTATTTTAAATATTTCAGTTTTGCTTAGTTATAATGTTGTTTATGAGTAGACTACACGATGACCTATCATCTTTTATATTTAAAACTCATATTTGTACATTTTGTGAATACTACTTATCATCCCCATCTATTTAAATAAGTGTCTTAATTATCAACTAATTCTAGTATTTCTCAATTTTAAAAAAGCAGAGTTCTTCTCAAAGAATCATCTCACTAAAGCTGACAATAAAATTTTTAATATCATATACAGAAAAGCTGAATTTCTTTCTCTCTTTATTTCTCTTTCTTTAATAAACAATCCTTCCTCAATTGAGCATTAACAGTACGAGATATATGCACACAGGAAAACATTCTTAAAAGTTGGAATTCTATTTTTTATAATTATTTCTCCATCCATTGAAGAATACTTTGATGGGATTCTAAATGAATAACTAATCATTTCTAGTAGTTTCTGCAAAAGTTTATAATGAGACAATCTAGTTATAATGAGCTGAAAAGATAATTGTTCATTGGCCTGAGTGTGGATGTGTTCAAACAGCATGAATTTTTACTAGAGTTAAGATAAAAGAGTTCAGAGTAATGTGCCTCAAGGTCAGCAAGCATTTTAGGTTATTTATAGTCATAAATAATCTGATTTGGACTTTGAAATAATATGTTTCCTATCACTAACTATAAGAACAATCAAGGCTCATGTGGCTGTATATTTGGAATTTAGAATTTTTAAATCCTTAATAATGGATTTCAAAGCAATTGTAATTTACACAAAAATGTATTATGATTTTTAATTCCCAAATTTTAATGTCCTTGAAAAGATGCTTTGCTTTTTGAAAAAGGGGAGTTAGTTTAACTTAGAACTAAATCACAGGATGTTTTTAACTAGCCCATTAAATAAAATATATACAGAAATAGTACTCATTTGCATTTTTGCCCTATACTAAGGAATACGAAGGCCAGAAAAATGTACTTTTTGAGACTATTTAACATGAAATACAGAATATGTCCCATTATAAGCTGCAGACACAAACGCACATGCACACAAACCCTCTGCAAGATCAAAGACCAGAAAAGAACTGGCACTTAATTTATCAGCCTTTACAGACAAAAGACAGTTTTCGTCATTTCAAAAGGATCAGATGTCTTTTATGACAAACTGCGTTTGCAGTTTAATTTACAAATAGAATTCTAAGTAAGCAGTCTTTGCTCTGCCAAAGCAAATGACAAACAGTGTAGGTTTTCATTCTTGCGGTCCTCAGCAGGATAGAAAAGATTAAAATAAAACTGAAATAATTTAGAGAAAACAAATAAATGTTTCAGAAAGTTGAGGGAGATCAAAGCCAGAATTTTCTGACCCCAACTGTACAAGCATTTCTTATTATATTGACCAGTGCCATCAGATCATTAATTAAAAGGAAAAGCGCTGGCAGGTGGCAGGGAAGCAAAAGCCGATAATTGGCCCCCTTCTTCTTCTTGCCTTCAAAAACTCTCTCATTCTTTTGCAAGACATGCCACTAGGCAGACAGAAATGCCTACTTTGTAATATAATGATTAAGATGAGATGAAGAGACTTACGTTTAAAGAAACTCTGCCTAATGAATGCATCTAGCTTTTTAATTATGATGGTACTTTTACAATAAGGAATATGATGTCCCATTCTACATCTCCTCAACTGCCAAAAGGTAAAAACGCTAAAAATAGAACTACATCAATTCCTCTCACACCACTTGCACACACCAACCCTTTTATTTAAGATAAAAAGTGAGAAAATAACTCTTAACTCAAGGGTCCAGGAGAAAACATATACATTCCCCACAAAATATCCTTCAGACTTACCACATCACTTGGCAGGTTGTTCAAGTCATTAAATGGTGATTCTAGAGTATTTGTGTCAACATTTAACATAACCACATCTTCCAATGATTTGTTTTTCACTCTCTGTTTAAAAAACACATATATGAAAAAGACAAAATATTTTCTATGCAAACTATATGGTTTTTGGTGTTTTTTTTAAACACCAAAACATTATCTTAATGCAATAGGCTTGAAAATTTCAACAAAAAAATCCTACATTACAAAAGGATATAAACAACTTCATATTCTTAGGAAGGAAATTTGATCATAATCCATTCAAAGCATTTGGTAGAAATGCTTAAAATGCAGTATTTGCTCATACAATACTGAATTAATTTAACTACCAAAGAGATAATGCAACAAAAACCTATTATAAAATTGGCACACTTGTATCATAAAAACCTGTAGTCTTTAAAATTCATCAAATGAATATCAACCCAATAATACAGTAATTTGTACCCTGCTCCTCACCTAACTTTAGCATAAATCATACTGTAGTGACAACATAAAATAATAACTATGACCACAGTATTGATCTGCATTTTAAAATGAATAAATATTTTCTCTACATTTCCATACCAGTAGATATACCTCAATGATGAGGACTGAAAGTGGTCTAAGAGAAAGTAACAGAGAGGAGAGTAAGCTGGAACTTATAGTTAGCAATATTCCTTACATCAATTTCATGGTAAACAATGAAATTTAATAGCCTATCAGAATGACCATTTTATTTGTCTTATTTATTTAAAAGCTTTAAAATAGTCCACATACCTCAATATGTTCACAAATTATACTAAATTACAATTTTATCAAAATTTTTGACCTAATAAAGAAAATAGTTATGGTTATTTTGTCCTATTTAAATTATCATATATACTTTTAAAAAAGCATTGATTTCTATGTGTTTGATTTAAATTATAGCAAATGTTGATAAGTGATAAGTAATGTGTTCATTAAGGAAATAAATCCATGAATTTATAATTCCATAATTTTATAGGTCAACTAGTAATAGATCAATAAATAGTATTTTAAAAACTATCATTGCAGAAGAAAGCCATTTTTGAAATTTATTATTTAAATATCTCAAATTTTAAATTGGCTAAGTCAATTATTTTTTTAAACTGATTATGACTGAAATCTCTCTGATCTATTTAAGAATTTCAAATCTCTGCACATTTGGTAGAATGTTAAATCTGCTAGTGAACTAACAGCCTAAAGTAGGGAATTCATGTTTTAAGAGAGGTATAATATCTACGTATGATATGAATTCTTGGGAGATACACTATTTTAAACATCCACCTTGTAAAAACACATTGTATTATAAAATAAGACCTTAAAGATAGTCACTTCTAAGACACAGAGAACCATTTCTGGTGACACTAATGATATTATTTCAAAAAACATTTATAAATACACTCATTTCTTTTTCTTCCTATACACACTAAGAGGTTTAAATACAGAAATATGTGTTTACTTATAAATTAACTATAGTATAAATATAATAATCCATTTAATATTGTAAGCAAATATATATTATATTGGTGTACTTGTAGTAATGGTATTTGGACAAACTATGTTATATAATATACATAATATACATCTTCATTTTTAAGTTAGCTTTATACCAGAAAATATGTAAATAATCTGGGAGCTAGACACATATTTTAAGAAGTAAAATGAGCTTTTAAAAATAGCACAGGATAGATGGGCACAGTGGCGCAAGCCTATATAATCCCAGCAGCTCAGAAGGCTGAGGCAGGAGGATCACAAGTTCAAAGCCAGCCCCAGCACTGGTGAGGCACTAAGTAACTCAGTGAGACCCTGTCTCTAGATAAAATACAAAATAGGGCTGGGGATATGGCTCAGTGTTTGAGTGCCCCTGAGTTCAATACCCAGTATCAAAAAAAAAAAAAGCACAGAATAGTGCCAATGTGCCCCAAAATGTTTTGTGATAACACACTAAAGTCTGAATAATTAATATGAAATGTTCACTTTTTTCAAAATTACTTTTAGTTTTATAAAGTCAGATAATAGTGCCCACGGAATTTTTTTTAAAAGAATTAATCAATAAGAATAACAACATGAAGCAGGGTGTGGCAATACAGGCTACTCTCAAAGCTAAGGCAGGAGGATCATGAGTTCCAGGCCAGTCTGGGCAATAGGGTCTGAGAAAGACCCTATTTCAAAAAGAAAAAAAAAAATGAATAGAAAAATGTATTCAGTTTTAATTAAGAAACTGAGAGGCCCTAATATTGAAATAATTTTAAGAATGAAAGAAAGAAACGAAGGAAGGAAGGAAAGAAGGAAGGAAGGAGGGAAGGAAGGAGGCAAACCAGTATTTTTGAAAGAAAATCTGGAATAGCATCAGTATGTTAACTATTTTTTCTCTTCAAATCAAGCTTAAGCAATTTTTTTTCTAAATAGGTATGTAAAAATCAAATGTTACCTTTTTATCTGTCTCATATTTTTATACCTTATAAAGTTATGATATATAAAAGTAAGAGTGAGAAAACATGAGAAAAGAATTCCTTTTTCTTCAAAAATAAGAAAATAATAACTGGACATAGACTAAAAGGCTTATTAAGAAAACAGTAAGGTGTTAAAGTAGGTTAAGTCTTTTCATGCCCTCTGTTAAACCCTTCTGCAAATGTGACTACGAATGTACATTATACACATTAATGCAAAGAAATGACACCATGGCAGCAATCATATGACCTTATGAAACTGAACAACATGTCACTTATAGTTCTTTGTAAAATGAACAAAATAAGACAATTCTCATATTTATAGCTTTTACTCATTTACTCTTAATCACTTTTACATGCCTTAGTCTGCTTTGAGATCATCCCTGAAGTTGAGTTTTCAGGAAGAACAAAATATGTTTTTCCTTTATTTTAGAAGCTTTTTTTTATTTTAAAAAGAGACTTTTTGCCATTCTTTACTCAATGATTACATAAAAAATAATTGAAAAAATTCAAATATCATTAATATGATTTAGAATAACTATGGAAGTTTTTATAAACTGATAATATATGTGGAAACTGTCTTGAACAAGAAAGAGGAAAAAGACTATTTTGACTCTTCCTTGAAAAATTTCATTGTAATTGCTAAAAAAAAATGCAAAAACTTACTCATCTCAGTCTAACATATAAACTATGTAAGTAGTTACATCCACATTTTAATTATAAATTATTTATTATAAAATAAATAAGAACAAAATAAATTTTAGTTGAAAAGTCCAATAATGAAATAGTAAGAATAAAATTGCAATACATAATATCATTGTGTAATACATTAAGAAGAAAGTTACTAAATAACACCCAACTGTTTTAAAAGAATTCTTGAAGGCCCAAGTATATTTTTTCATTCACTATTAAACCAGATAAACCAAATATAGCTGACTATCAAGACACTGGAATAAACCCAGTGAATAAAAATTATAGAGATTTCATTCAACTAACCTAACTGTGACTCTAAATATTCTTGTTTAATAACAAAAGCTTATTTAAAGTTAGAATGCACTTTTTTTAGACGATAATTTCAAAACGTGAAAAATTCTTAAGTTTGCTCCTTAAAAAATATTTTCTTTATATATGGCCAATAAATATATGATAAGTGAAACTGAACACTTAAAACATGTATAATTTCTATATTAATTTTGGAAAGCCAATTTTAAAAATTGATATAGAATATTATACAAAAAAATAACCCATCAATAGGTAGTGTCAACAACTTTAAATATTTTGATTCTGTATAAATATACAGAAAAATTATCATCTTACATTCATTAAATACAGAAAGTCACTAATGTGAAAATGCATAATAATATGCACAATAATATAGAAGTCAAATTTGATGATTTCCTTAGGAAAAAAAAAATCTAACCATGTTTAGATACGTTATCAAGTCAAGCTACTGGTCAGGGCTTGGGATGTAGCTCAGTGGTAGAGAACTTGCTTACCATGTGTAAAGCCCTGGGTTCAATCCCTAGCACTTCAAAAACAAAAACAAACAAAAAACTGATCAATAAAATGCTAGTGAGGTGCTGAGGCTGTGGCTCAATAGTAGAGCACTTGTCTGGCATGTGTGAGACACTGAGTTCGATTCTCAGCACCACATACAAATAAATGAATAAAACAAATGTCCATACATCTAAAAAAATATTTTAAAAAATGCTACGAAATATTCCATGATCTAATGCCAGACTGAATACCTAAATTCATCTATTCTACATTTCATATACTTTGTTTTTTCACTGAAAATGCCTGAGCTTATAGGAAAACTTTTATAAAAATGAATAAAATATAAGAAATCATAAAGTTATCCAACCTGAATTTCAATATAAAAAACAATTCAAGCCTATTAAAAATTCATTAAGATTTACTTTCTATTAATGATGAAGCAAATAAAAAATACTGCCTACTATTTTGCAAAAAAAAAAAATGCCCCAAACTAGAGCTCAGGTGTAATTCTATAATCCAGGCCTTTTGCAGGAACATGACTCTCTCATATGATCCTTGAGAATTTTAAAATACATCAAAAGAATCTTCTTTGATCAAAGGGAAGGACTGATGTATATAGTAACAGCAACTAAGAAAACCACATTTAATTCATTATTTTGTTAATTAGAAATTAGGTTAAACTGTTAATCTGTACAATCAGCCAAAAGAGAAAGGTATTCAAAGAAAACTGAAATCACCCATCATAATGTTTCCACTCAACTGACTCAAATTTTCTGCTTTCATACAAAGCTTTGTTTATTTTTTCACAGACTAATCTTCCAAAAAGTCTACTCTGGAAATATCACTGCTTCAGATTCAAGAACTTTTAAGTTTAAGTAGTTTCACTACAATGATAATTTAAGTAAAAAAAAAAAAAATCATTTTGGAATGATCTAATGACAGCTAAAAAAATTCCCAAATTTTCATCCCCCAACAGGACTAAAAATTAAAATATAAAAAGAAGCTATATTCTAATTTCAAAGTTTGTCATTAGCATATTAAAACCACATAGAAATAAACTGAAAAAAAAATTAAGTTTTCAAAATAAAAACATTTCATTTTATGAGCCACAAGTACGTAAATTTTAATTTTCAAAATACATTTCCGAGAAAAAGATATAAAAGATATCAAGTTACCATCAAGAAAAGTAGTTCATTAAGGATTAAAGTTTTTAGTATTCAAAACTTACCATATGACTTCTATAAAATATAACCTATTTTCATGGGTTTCATGCCACTAAAAATGCTCATTTAATACACTAATCTAAATGAAATTATTTCAATGCTAACTTTTTTAAATGATCATTTAATTAGCTCCTAAATATAAAGTTAGTCACTGCTTGGTATTATTCATTTGATATTCTTTCAAACAAAACTGTTTTAAGTATTATTTTTAATGAGTAAATTTTATCACTATCTCGTTTCTGAAAGATACTCACCTCTATGAGGCTGGAGTGTATTCCAATCAGGTATGGCATTGGGGCACTAAATTAAAAATATATATAGATAGATAGATTCATATAGTTTGTTAAAACTGAAACAATAATATAAAGTAATTCAAGTGCTTAAAAAATTAAATTTACTAAATGCTCAGTTCCAGAACAGCACATTCTACATTCAAAATTATTCAATATATAAAATTCAAATTTAATCCTAGAGGTCATTAACATTTAAATTAAGGTTGGCTTATATAAAAATCACAAAATCATTTGTAATTAAATTAAGAGTTATAATACCTAAAAAGCATTTTTTAATTTAAGACTCTCAGGGCCTAGGCCATAGTCTGAGTTGAATCTTTTCCATATACCTCACAGCAAATAGATCCTAAATAATCATCAAATTTATTACATTTTTGCACATATTTTATCATTCTTATTTCTGTGATTTTTCTTAATATGTCTTCATTATTTCATACCTACTATGTCTCCTAATATTTAGTCAGTCAGTCAGTCAGTTACATAGTCACAGAGTCATCAAATATTTACTGAGACTTAATGTGTGCCAGGCAGTATTCTGGAAGTAGAGTTGCAAAAAAATAAACAAGTTCCTCCCATAGTGCGCTTTCTCTTCCCTCATATATATCACCTTTAATTTAAGTTTTATAAATTCAGATTTATTCCACTTTCAGTGTAATGAATAAAATAATTTTAATAAATTAAAAATACTCAAATACAACAAGGATTTTGTATTAATTAATTCAATGCCTGATATTGGAGGTGCCAGGCTCTGAGGTAGGGGCTTGGGAATAATAATAAACAATATGACTGAAATGTGTTTCCTTGTGAATCTTGTACCCTAGCAGAAATGCAACCATTAAAAAACTTTTAATATACAAAATCTATGCTACTAGTAATTTTAGAAATATTTCTTAGGAAATACAAGAAGAAAATTATTCAACTTGACATTTCAAACAAAATTATTATCTAACAGGAAAACATAAGAATGTACAGATGTCTACAAAAGTGATAGAAGATATGTGAACAAATAGCTATATAAAAATAAAACATTTTGGCAATTCTTTTATGGGCATCTTTGTGCTTTATTAATGCAAACCTTTTCTATTAAGGCAAACAGATAATCCTCTTTCTCAAAGGATTTGCATAATTTTCTAACCATCACTGCCATTATTAAAACAGTGCTGTCCAAACTCTGTGCTCACTTTTCTACTGAGAACTAATAATAGATAAACATAACAGGCACCTTGACAGATTCAGGTATTTCAAAGTAACCTCAGAAAGTTCCAAGTTCATTTAAGGATGGATAAACAGTAACCTATACTTCCAGAATTCACACACACACACACACACACACACACACACACACACACACAATGGATGAAGTTCTTTGCTTCTCAGTAGCCTGTACGTTCTAGTTCATTACTTATTATTGTACTACATTCTAATTCCCAGTTGTCTTTGCCTTTTGTAGCTTTGTTCCTTCCTATTCTTTTTTTAATTTTTATGCAACAGACCATCTGGAATTGATCTGATATTCTGGATACTTCATTTGACTGAAAGTTGAGAGCTATTTATAGGTCTCGATATCCTTAAGACCCAACAGATTTTCTTCCGTCAAAAGGAAAAAGGAGGAACAAATGTGGACTGTTCCACTTTTACTTAAATACGGGAAGGCCAGTTACTCCCTAGTTCATGTTTTCATCCCTTGGACTCTACAGATAACAAAGTATAGATCAATATTCTGGGCCCCCAAAATCAGGCTTGGGCCACTGTCACTAAATAAGGTAGGCAACTCTCAAGATTTTTAAATATGTTAAGCCCTCCAAACATCCAAAATAGTATAAAATTATTAGTTACCACAAAACCTTCCAATTCACCCCCAGTTAGGATATCCTAACCACAAGATGTATAATACAGAAAGTCTATGGTATCTTAAATTCCAAAACACATTTTAATAGAAGAGTGCTTGCCAAAATATTCAAGGCTTTTAAACATAGTATGTTCCTCTTATACATGTTGAAGGGATACTGGATGGACCACAGTTTTATTAAATGAGAGTTCAAACTGCTAAGTAATCTACTAAAATTCTAGGAAATACATTTAGACAAATTCTTGTTAAAGATTATGAAGGCTACTTATCTTTTGAGATACAAACAATAAGTTTATATAAATTGTAAAGATAGAATTAAAAATTCAGTAAAAAGCATCTATGCAGAGTAATAAATAATAAAATAATAAAGTAACTCAAAACTTTTTATAATAATAATAAAGTAATTCAAAATTTGTTTATAAGATAGCTAAGTAAGTATTCACAAGTTTTTTCCTCACTAATTTTAAATAAAATCCAAAAATAGAGCTATTTGAGGCACAAGCATTATTAATCTACAACACAGATTTTCTAAAGTAATTATGATATTTTTCAGAAAATGGGATTAATTGAATAGGTGTTTCCTTCCCACCTTTTCATAGTGGATTGTGTACCTCCTAATACAAAATAAGCCAAGTCTCATGGAAAGAAATTTTGCAAACCCTAGCTGAAATTTCCTAATTAAATTAGGGTGTTAATAAGTCAGGAAGAGATCCTTGGCAACACAGATGTTAACATCCATGTGCAAAACTGTCCTAGATCTTTCCATCAGTGAAGTTATTTTGAAAAGACAGAATATAGAAGGCTCTATTACGAATGCTGTTTCTTTTTGGTAGAAACTAACCTTCACTCAAAATATTGCCTTTCTTTTCTTTTTAGGTTTTCTTAACAGACTACCTGTTACTATAACAACAATCTATTGGGGGTAGTATTAAGATTGTAATCTTCCATTAAAAAAAAAAACTGTTCCCTTAGAAGCTAAATTGATCATTTCATAGCAGAATCAGATAGATGAGCTAAATGAAAAGATTGACTAACCATTCCCTGACCAAACAACAATTTACTTTTACTATTCGTAGATCACAACACCTCTTAAGCATTTATGAACTCAGATAGTTTATCAGTGTCATAAACTTGCCACATTAAAATACTCTTATTTTGGCTGATTTAAGGGAAAAATACAGATTGTATAACTTTCTTCTGAGAATCATCCCTAACCTTCCAAGAAGGTGGGCTGTTTCTTCAATTTCCATGCATGGTTCTTTTGTATGTCTCCACAATAGGACTTACAATATCTGAGCTTTATGTATGTATGTGTGTGCACATATAAGTTTATGTCAGTATATATGTATGTCTTCCTATCTGTGAAGCTCCAAAGGGCAAAAACTTAATCTTATTCATCACATTACATACACACATCTTGGCAAATAGTTGCTCACTAGATGTTTGATGAACAAATGTATGGATGAATGAACAGACCAACAAAGTAGTTAGGCTTTATCAATAAACCAAGATGCGATATTCACCCATGGTCACAAGATGGCATTATGGTTCTCCACAACCTGTTCTATGCCAGAGCTATCAGATACAAAAACAGAAATACTTTGAGGAGCTAGAATTACTTCAGGATTTGGAAAGCTCTTATCACTCTAAAGAGTTAACAATAATACATCTACTCCTATCAAACCTTCATGGTGTTATTTTGAACTGGAATATTAAAATCATTTATTCAAAGAGATTGAAGGGATAATATGAAATATTTTCCCCTTGTGCAGGTAGATTAATATGATTTTAACTTGAAGGATTCAAAGGGAAGAAAAACCATTTTTCTTAGAAAATTGTTTAGTCCACCAAATTTTCTAATAATGGAAGAGAGCCAGAATCTCAAATGGCTATTTCTAGAAAAAATATCATAGTTCTCAGTTCCTACAGTAGAAATTAACATTATCACTGTGTCTGTAAAGTTCAGAAAGTTTCAGATAAACTCCTTGCTTGGGTATCACTGCTCTGTTATAAAAGCTGTTAGAACCTGTCCTAACAGCTACTTCAGACATTAGAAAGAAAATTCCAGGGTTGAAATATAGAACAAGCTTCTTTCATTATAATGGAAGCAGCAAAAAAAAAAAAAAAAGGATTTGATGTCAGGGATGGAAAGTATCAGAAAGGTAGCTTTGGAAAGATTTAATAAAAATTTCCCTGAGTCATTGAACAGTTTCTAAATAACATTAAATGTGTAATTCATTATAGAGAAATGAGTTTAGAGGTGTGTTACCTCTAAGAGGTCAGATTATTTTAATAGAAAAAATTAAGATGACATGAGCATTATAACCTGATAAAATATAATTCTAAACTTCATAATTAGAAGTGTTAGTTCTTGAAACACTCAATTGACCTATATTTTTAAACTGTTCATCGATACAGTAAATTTTAATTACAGAACACCGTGTGCAAAGAACTATTACATATGTTGACATGAATGAACTCCAATCTCTGCCTTCAAGGATGGTTAAGATATTGTAGGTGTGCTGGTCAAAAGAAAACTCTAAAATACATGCATAAGAGACTATTTATAGATTTAGGTTTACACTTAAACTTGTGAGTATGATACTTCACAATATAATTAATTGCATTCCTATAATCTGCGAAACATTTCTCCAAGGGCAGAAGAGCAGTGGTAGGTCACTGGTACCTACTTCACAGCATTAACAATACTACTACCATGCTGTGGAAACCAATAGAGCAGTATAATCAAAATATGTGTCCAAGTACATATACTGTTATTACCATCACTTATTATAAGCAGATTAGTCACAAAAAACTTAACTTAAAAACTTTTATGTATGAACTTATATAATTTTAATCCTTAAGTACTTTAATTTGTCCTTCAAGAAATAAAAAGCTAAATAAATGTTATTTTTAAAGGAACTGATTTTTACTAATATTAGTTAGGATTTAAATAAACACATTAAAGCTGAAATGATTTCCTCCTGTGCATGTATGTGTATGATTTAAAGGGGAAAAAAATCACATCAAATTTCTTACAAATTAAGGTATGCCTCCAGAAAATGATTATGCAGTAAAGATAACATACCCCAGCCCTAAAGAAGGTCCCAAAGCTGCTTTTTAGTAGTCTGCTCCCTGCTATCCTCACTCTAAGTATGTAGACTCTTCTAGGGAGGAGAACAAGGGGGTCATTGGTCATTGTTCTCATAATTTCTAGAGGCCTGAATGAATTCAGACTGGTGAAATCACTGGGAGTTGTTTCTAAGGCAAGCAAACCCTTTATTATTACTCCCAACACTGTTTTTTCTTTTTCTTTTTATAGCAGCTTTAGGCTGAAATTTTGACTTAAACCAATATTATATTTTAATATAATTCTTATACTAAAAGCAACCCTTTTGTCAGTACAAGGTATTCAGTGTGCTATTGGGGAAAGCAGAGGTAAAAGAAAGTGTATCCTGGGGTAAAGGAAACAAAAGTATGCCCTGACAGAGACAATGTGGTAACTGGCAGACTTTCCAGACAAGTTCTGACACCTGGAACACTGGGTTTTCTAATTAATTCCATACTTCTGTCCAATTTTCCCAGCCACAAACAAAAAGTTTGTTTCTATTTATGCACTGAATTATCTAAATGACTGCAGAATAAATTCACAAAATTTAAAGAGCTTTGTTTGCCAAGGGCAAATTTTCTGTGGAAAGAACTACTCTGGCCTCCATAAAAGTACTCTTTAGTATGTATTACTAACACAAAAGTCAAGTTCCTGTGATTTTTTTTTCACATATACAGGAGGTTTACCTAATCTACAAATAAGCGGATCTGTTTTCTAATCATGAAACCTGGATTTAAAACAGTCTGGCAAAAGCCAGCTTACCAGCAGTAGTCCAGCAGGTGTGGAGGAAGCACTGGGATGTATATATGCTGCCAATACATTGGGTAGAGCAGAGCAGCCGATCCATGGAGACAGGCAGTTAACTAAAATTTACAAAAGGACAACAATAATAAGTAGCCGCTGACCCTCCAAACAAAAAGCCATGTCCAAGGTATCAAAGATGAATGATAATCATAGAAAAATGTACACAATGACATAACTCACAATGCCTTTACCAGTTATATAAATAAAGTCTTTTATGTCTCAGGGACTCCTGTAAAAAATATATAAAAAGCAAGAGTAGCTTCATGGGAATCATATGTACATAGTTATAACCACATAAAAATATACTTTGGGGTTAAAATTTAGAACATAAATAAAGTTAAAACTGAAAAATCAGGTAAGCATCTCAGAATATATTGTAGGAAATTACGATTTGTGCAGCACAGTTTGCACATCACTCAGATTAATACAGCACGATTAAATATGGAAAAGAAGAGAGGCTGAAAGCTCCTGAGGGATATCATTAGGGCAAATTGCCAAAGAATGAAACATGAGCCAGTCAGGAGAGTCTGGAAGCTGCAATAATACCAGGGGACTTGAACGTTCGACAGTTGGAGCTTCAGTAATGTGTGAACTGTGGGTTATGGTATCAAGAGACTCTGTTCACTGACACATAGAATGTCACTATTGACCAGCAAACTGCCCAAGCTTGACAGCTGTACTACAGGAAGCCAAGTATATCATAATTTCATATTTAAACTGTTCATTCTAGATTAACATTTTGTTTCCTAGCTTTATATCACAGCAGCTGCAATTACATTGTTGCTATTTTAAAGGTAATTGCCATTTTAATTGTTTTGTTTTGGCAAGCAGTTAATTAAACATTTTTAATGCTTAACAAAGAGATATCATTTTTTTTCTCCTTTTTACTGACCCTCATAAGAATTCTTTCCATTTGACTTTGTTTCATTTTAATTATGTTTCTATAGAGGTAAAGTACATTTTTACTGTCTAGTAATTAAATCAGCATTCTTCTTTTGTCATTTTAAAGTTTTTCTGTAGCCTATAGTTCAAGGTTACTAATAAAATAATTTTGGTGAAACTGAGAATCAAAATTTTCAAAAAACTATCTGAAAATGGACCACAGACTTTCTATAAACCATTTTCTCTATTTCATTGTTATGCAAAGAAATTAAAACATATACATGAGAATCACAATTACCTTAAAGAATAAATGTAACCAAAGCAATCCCAATCATATTGGAAGCTAATTTGTTTATCTTTAAGTGAAAAATTGAAAAAAACAATTTAAATAATGTCATTCAAACCAAAAACATGAAAAAATTTCATTGAAATGTACTTATCTTTGTCATATGTGTGATATTTTTCCAGATTTTTGGTTAATTTTGTACAACAGATAATGTATCTGATGCCACATCATACTTTCATTAAAGGGTTTTACTGCCTTGAATTTACTATCTTTATTAATTTATGAGTATTCTTTCAATTAATATTATTTTTTAAAAAATGTAATCGGAGCATATCAGATTCCACTAGGAGGCATTCAAATACTTCTATTTAACAATTATAGATCATGGATTTATTTATGTTACAAAATTGAACTAGAAGGAAATGAAAACGGGGTTGCTCTAACTCATTGTGTCAAATTCTCCTAGAGCTTTTAGGTACTTCCTGGTTGTAAATTAGGCATCTTTAAAGCTGTCCTAACTCTCTCCATCCCTTTGGCATAACCTGATGGGTCAGGAAAGTTTAGGTAGCTTTGAAAGTCAGCTAATTACTCAATTTCTCCATCTGCACACAGATGACTTTCAAAACAGCTCATTTTAAATCTTTAAAAAGGGAGGGGTACTATTCCTTTTTATTTTGAGAAAATAGTAATAGTGAAGCAGGAGGAAAAACAAATTCTCAAAATGATCTATAATGAGGCTGACTTATTTCACTGGCCACACCCGAAGTTCAGAATACCCTTCTAAATGCTACACAGAATACTTCCTCTATCCGTCAATGGTCACCCTTAAATGAAGTTATTCATTATTCACTAACAAGGCACAATTGTATCTGACTGGATTTTTTTAAGAGGATAGTTTCAGTGATCATAAGCAGAGTCAAAAAATTTCTGTCATGTCCAACATCTTGCAGGGGGTCATCCCTGATAATCAAGATCTATCAGGAGAGATCAGGAGAGAATAAAGCTTCACAGGACTTGACAACTTTCTAGATGTGGAAAATAAATGGCAAGGAGAGGTAGGAATATACAACAACCTCTCCCCAGCCCCAGTGTTTAGCCTAAGCAATGAGAATGAATTATTAAGACTAATATAACAAAAATGCCAGGCTTAGGATGAATCATAAAGAACTTGAGTATGCAAGTTCTGTTTACCAGGAGACATCCAAGTGGATATTTACAAAGTAGAAGCATATCAAAGGATTGGGATGTGGCTCACTGGTAGAGCAGCTGCCTCACCTGTGTAAGGCCCTAGGTTCACCCCCAACACCAGCCAAAAAGGAAAAAAAAAAAAATCCCCAATCCCCTATATGCCTCCAGTTGCATGCAAGAACAACATCATTTTAACAATTACTTTGTAGAAAGCATAACAAAGTTGTAAGTAAATTATAAGACAGTAAAAATAAATTTACTAGGAAATCAAACACATTCATATATGTTATATAAAATTATAATCGAGTATACGAGCCAGGCTTGGTGGCACATGCCTGTAATCCCAGCAGTTTGGGAGGCTGAGACAAGAGGATCAACTTCAAGTTCAAAGCCAGCCTTAGCAACTTAGCAAGGAACTCATTGAGACTCTACCTCTAAAAAATATATAAAAAAGGATTGGAAATGTGGCTCAGTGGTTAAATGTGCCATGGGTTCAATTCCTGGTACAAAAAAAAAGTATATGACAGAAGAAAAATTAGGGTTCTGACATTAATAAGCTGTGGGGCCTCTGGCACATCTAACATAATAAGTTGTGAATTTCTTAATCTTTAAAATAAGAATTTATGCTAGATGATATGCAAGCATTGCCTTTCACAAGTCAAACATTCTTTAAATAAGATAAATTCAATTCTTACTTTTTTAGATACTTAGTAATACATATTTTCCCATTAAGTGGTTAACAGCATATTTTAACTATAATTCAGATCTACCTTTAAAATACATCTAAAGATTACTTCTCAGTGCTTGACAGTGCATTAGGTTAACTATGCACTTGGAAATATATTAATTCATTTGCTCAGTTCAACAAAAATTTTAAGGGCCTGCTTTGTGTTTTCATAAATTTCTTCCTAGGTAAAAGGAACACAATATTGAACAAAACAAAGTCCCTGTTTGTATGTGTTATGAAGAAGACAAATAATAAACAAGCAAAACATACACTGTAGGTTGAGCATACCTATTCCAAAAATCCAAAATCTGTAATTCCCCCACATCCAAAAAGTTTTGAATGTTAATATGACACCACAAATGGAAAATCCCTTAACTGAGCTCATGTGATGGACTGCAGTCAAATATAGATGCATAAAACAACCTCCAGGCTATGTAAAAAGGGTATAGATGAAATATGAATGAACTTTGTATTTAGACATATGACTAAAGGTTTCAGGGGAAAAATATTAGCTTGAAGTAGCATACGAATATTTTAAAACACATTAACTTTCATAAAGTATACTTGAAATATTGAACTGATATTGTCCCAAAGGAATGATTAATGGAAAATGAAAACATTGAGATCTAAATTTCTTATAGATTCCAATTATAAAATAAGTATATATGAGAACCATGTGATAACAAGACATATTCCATGCTTTCATAATTATCAAATAGATTTTACCATCATGTATAACTAAAAAGAACCAATGGGGAAAAAAAGATTCAAAACCTGGGGCCTATAAAATCTTCAGATTAAGAAACTTTGAAAACTAAGGTCAGCAATAGTGAATTTAGTTACAGAATAAAATGCACTTACAAATTTCAATCCTAGGCCACTTGGTTTAATAGCAGACTGACATTCATAATGACTGAAAATATTAATAATAATTTCAAATATTTATATATTGTTTGCCATATGCCAGGCCATATTTTGACTATTTGAAGTATACAGATCTAATCCTCACAAAAATCTAATGAAAAAAGTACAACTATCTTTAATCCCATCTTACAGATCAGGACATGGAAGCAAAGTTAAAACAATTGCCTGAGATCATATATCCTATAAGGAGTAAAGTACAATTAAGTTTGAAACCAAAGTTCTCCTCTTTTGTAATATTCTGTTGTGATCTGTTCCTTTTTCTTGAAGTTAAACTCCACATATTAGAGTCAATTAGCCTAATAACAAAAAACTAAGCAGTGTTTTAAACATTAAGTAGGCACGTGCTTTGTGGAGGCAAAAAACACATCCATCAGATTCCCAGGGAGACAGCAGAAAAATGACTCATCAAATGTAATGACCACAATGGAAAATATAAAAATTCCTAACTGACACACTTTAGAGGGAAAAATTTCATATTGACACATTGCCAGTCCCATTATTCTAGTCTCTATATCACCTGGCCAGATTGTACCTTATTCTTATTCTTGTATTCTTATTCTTAGGTAGAAATCCTACTCATTGCAACTAGAATTCTATGTGAGTTACTGAGAGGCAGATTTATATTGCCCCAAAATGTATTTATGCATAAAAGAAGAAATACGTATGTTAAGAGATGTCATCTGACTTTTAACTGAAGCAATAGTTCATTCATAACTTTAAGCACTATAAATAACTACAAGTATACAGATTAAACTGCTAGAGATAGTAATGTGATAAATTCCGCCTGGAATGAAAAGAAAAATACTAGAAACCATAAAGAAGGCATCTGTTGAAACACATTTACTTTATATTCACATTTTAAAGTTTAGGCCAAAAAAAAAGTGTCAGTTCGATATCTGAAAACTACAATGTTATCCCAATTATAAAGTATTCTCACTTGAACAAAACTTTAATATTCAAATTAAGTGATAGTTATATTAAAGAAACAGCAACTTTAACAGTGAAAAAAAGTCAGTATTTGGTTGTGAATTTTTTAAATTTTATTTTAGAGC